GTCCCTATCTGGCAACCCCCAGAAAAAAAATCCTAAACCCGCCCCTCTCAAAGAGAGAATGGAAAAATGACGAAAAGATTAGATAAGGGAAAAACTGATTCAGAATGCAGGGCATTTAAACTGCAGCGGACAAACGATTATTGTTTTGTTCATCTGTAAAGAGGCGGTGGTGGTATTCAGAGAATATAATCTGTGGCGACACTATGAATCCTGTCACAAAGACAAGTAAAAAGCAAACAAACTCTCAAAGCTAAAAGTGGACTGTTAGCTTAGCAGAATACATACTGTGAAGAACCCAGAGAGGCTTATTTGATTGTGCTTTCTGGAAAACAATAAATTTTTACATTTAGGCACTCCTGCAATAGTCACACTTTTTCTGTTACAAACTGACTCCGGCCCCCCACCAGAGAAGGGAAAAGTTATGTGGCCCTTACAGGYAAAAGTTTGGGGACCCCTGTTTTAATACTAACAAATATCAGATACTTAGGACTTTTACTCAAATATTCCTAAAGGCGACTTTAACTTCTACCAATGTAATTTTTTGTAAGATACTTGTACTTTTACTCAAGTATCACTTTGTGGTACTTTATACAACACTGCTTGCTTGTAAAAGAATATGATCAAGGACAGTATAACGGTCTTGCCCACACTCCGTACCAGTAGGTGGCGGTATTGTGCACTTTATGTTTTTGTGACGACCAATAAACCACAGAAGAAGAAGAACAAACCCACAGAAGAAGAAGAAAAAAACAAGACTGAACTGAACCATTTTCTTCTTACGCCGCTATCCTGGCAGGTAATATTGAATATCTAAAGTGTTTTTTAAGTTTTTAGTTTGTTTTTGCTGAACATTTGGACGTAGACGTGTATAGACTGGTGTTTTTACCGACCAGTGAATGAGGTTCATTCACAGCTCAGGAGCTCCGGCCTRTGAAGCCCACAACTCATCATGTTATCTGCTTCAACACAAACCCGGGCTCCGGGCTGCTGGTCCGACTGGTTTTTGTGCTGGGTAGTGTTAAGAAACTAGACATTTGTCCAGTTTGGCCCTGTATGCAGACTGAACTGACGGGTGGTTCAGATATGAATCTGCTTTGTAAAACTCAGTGATGTAATTCACATGATGTAGAAAATACGCTGTTTATATTAACGCTGCACTGATTTATTTATATGTTTTGGACCCTGTTTAGGACTGTATTAGATATGATACATCACAACACGTGTATCGATCCTGTAAACAAAGGCGATGTGTTGCTGTTTTTTTTTTTCTCCAAAGGTTTCTCATTTTAAAACATAGCCCACCATGTATTACATGCATACAATCTGATTAAATTCATTTTATACAGTATGCCTGCATTCAAAACACTGAACAAGAACTGCATTTTATGGTTCATATTTCTTCTTACATCTATTGCCTACTAGCGGTGGGAGGCTAAAATAAAACATAAAACAACCTTTGCATGAGATTTTATCTTTTAAGCTTTAATTAAAAATCGATACAATATCAGGAAGTGAAATATCACCACATTTCWGTGTCTTATTATTGTCTTAGACCCCTACTCTTTACTCCACATGTGCCCGCCAGCCCCCCACCCACTTCTTTTAACTTAACATGAAAGTTGTTTCTTATATCAATGGTAAACTTTAAAATCATGGTTAAATGTAACAAAATTAATTTAATAAAAATAAATGAAATAAAAATAAATTCCTGTCCCTGAGCTGTTGGCTTGAAGTAACTGAGCAGTTTCGTTGGATAGCACAGTACTAATGTCTGAAAATAAGCTGCTTTAAAGTTACCATGAAACATAAACTAAATCTGCCATAAATGCAGCTACTCACTAGAAAATCATCAGTGAGTAAAACTTTTTTGTTTTACTTTTAATAATATTTCTGTATTTATTACATATTTAGTCAGTCGTACACTTATTGTCCTGATGCATCTCAGTAATCCAGGTAAAAAATCAAAAAGAAAAAAATTGTGTAGGTCCTCTGGACGGGTTCTTCTCTAATGAAACGTTTCGTCTCTC